TGCGGGGAACCATGCAAAAAACGCATCTTCGCACGGGCAGCCCGTGCGTTGGCCAATTATTTTAAATTCATGCCTTTTTTCCTTTCAGTTTTATGCTTTTTACTAAACTGAAGGCGCTGTTGGAGAGAAAATTTAAAAATGTCTCGTTGCAATTTCATTTCTGCACACTTTTTATCTAATCGTTTTTTTTTTTTCTCACACAATGTTGCAGATATTCGCATGTGATGCCGCTTGCTTGGATCATCCTCTGAATGTTGGGCGCTCGAAAATACGTATTCCAATCAAAGTTACCAAGCCGAGCACTCCAATCTTGTATGTTTCGCACAACAGGAAACATCTTGAGCAATTGCGAGGAACGATTCACGTTGTTGAGGTAATTTTAAAAAATTACAGTCTTGAAAAGCTTTGTATTTTGTACTTTATTATTAAACGATATACGCTGCATATTGGTTACTGGTATCTGGACGATTTCGGAAAATTCGGACACGTATCTGTTTGGAGCGGCGGGTACTGACTGCAATAAAAATGCAACGCACGATAGAACTCGAAATAGCTGCCCCGGCCATAAAGATGCATTTCATCGCGCTGAAATCTCACATGTCAGTTAGCGGGTACTGATGATTTGTACTTTTGGATACTTAGATCAGCTATAAATCGTACTCCGGCTCTACAGTTATGTAGCTGGCAACTTCTTCAGTCCCTTTGACCAGTGCCATTATGCCTGGTGGTCATTCCGCTGGCAGTCATGGTGTTCGCTCGTCTTCTGAAAGGATGGTCAGGTTGACCGTTTTTTTGATAGAAAATTTGATAAAGCTTGAAATCCGAGTGCTTTATGTTGATCATCACTATTTCCCCTCGAATGAAGCCACCTTGACCATGATGGGGTATCTTATTCACTATGAGTTTCTTATGACTGTCATGCAGAAGTGTATGTTTAAGCCGACTGTAACAACCAGATTAACCTTAGCGGCCTAAATGGCGAAAGTGCAATAGAATACAGAAAAAAAATAGTATGAGAAAAGAATGTAAGAGTGAGATAAGACGTTCCTGTCCATTAAGTCATGTACGTCTTAACAGCGCGCGACAGGACCTCGTCAGTGTGACGGTCAAAGTGCTTAATGAAAAAGGAAAAGAAAAAGACGACAGGAAGAAACAGGAAGGGAAACGATATGATTGTGAGATTAGAAAGAGTGCAAATGGGGCGGGAAGGGAAAGGGAAAGGGAGGAGGAAAAAAGATTTTAAAAAAGAGAAAGTGGACTTCCTGTTTACAGTCGGTAGCAGTGATGATTTTTCGAGCAAAAATGTGCAACAGTGCGTGATACCCGATGTTTTTTTTTAAAGGTGATGGATGCTCCAGCTCATGAGCATGGACTGATCGCGCTACATCGGCACGGTCATCGTTTAGGCGGCCTTCCGGTGATGTTCTGGTTGATGCTTGGTGCTTTGGTTGTTGTTTTTCATTTATTCCTTTTCAAATTGGTCTATTCAGAATGGAAGAAAGGAGACACAACGCCATACAATTATTACCTGCGGCAGCGTTACCTCCGCGCACATTGAGCTTTAAATGGTACTATGCTTCAGCTGAGTTAGGGAAATTAAGGGAGTTTGTATATATGCGCTGTCTGTATTAACGTTTTAGGCTCTGTGTATAATATACATTAAGATTAAGAGCTTCTCACACTTTTTTGCGATTGTTCCCTGCATTGTGTATCGTTGTCTTCCATGCCATTTTCCACTTAATAAACAATTTTGTCACTCACTTTCAACTCGACAACCGCAGAAGCTAGAGAACTGAAATTTCTGGGGCATATTTTTACTGCAGGTGCGATGCTCCGTTTCTAAAATCATCATTCTTCTACGCCTGGGTCTCACGTACGCAGCACTTCTTAGAAAAATTTGTGCAAGTTTTTTGGCGAGAGAGCGATTCCGAGGATCAGGCAAACTAGGAAGCTGAAACTTCATAAAGACATTCTTTGTCTTTATATGAGCCAAAGATTTTAAAATCATTTCGAATGCTTGCTCATGTCATGCGTACAGACACGGCAAAGTTACTGTTCTTCAATAACTAGCAAAAGGCCAACTTGGGAATTGACCTAACTAGATTTCAATTTTATGAGAATATTTGCTGTACATGTGTAAGATCGTATACGTGAGACGTGTACGCCTGTATCACGCATACGAGCAAGGAACCACTTTTGGGCAAAAAATGATTTTGAGAGCCAAATGAGCCGGGAAACTGAAATTTCCCGGGGATGCGATGATGCGTGACAAGAAAATTTAAAATTCATCTTACAACTCCAGATCTCGCGTGTGAGCACGTGGTATTTCCAGTAGGAGCACCGTTTTGCTAGGCTGCTAAATTTCTACGTGGTGGTTAGTCGTCTTAGTGTGACCTAAAGGCGTAGAACTAGTCCTCGTTCATGCCATTTTCTCGAAGATACTCTGGATTGATTTCATTTGCCGAATTCAGTTAGCCAGACAGATTTATTTTTGGGCTCCTGCACTCCATATCACACTGTGCATGTGGGCTGCTCTTCGAATGATTATGCAAATTCGCAATATTAGTACTAGCGACATTCGTTTTCATTGCAGCAGAGGCAGTGCTTAAAAGGAGTGATTGATGCTGTTTGTGAGGTCTCTTTTGCGCATTAGCAACCTATTATTCACCAGAGTAAACTAACCCCACCCTAGGTTTGAATTTTCGGACTCTGGCCGCTCCACATTTTGTTTGTTTTGGACCATTCACTTTTAAGTTACGATTCGGCCTTCTGACAGTCGCAAATTGTTCCGGTCTGTCAGTTTTCGGTCTCTTTCAACTTCTATCGAAATAAATCAAAACTCAAAAACAGTAAGTCAGAAGTACATCCATCAAGCGATCCCATATGGCACGAAACAATGCAAAAACAATCGCACCGGCCAGCCCTGTGCGCACTACCAACGATTATAACGTTGACAGAGTAATCCCTGCATGCGCTCTTTAGAAAAATATTCGCCAGCATATGATCCAGAAATAAGTTGTGTAAAAGGTGCTGTGTGCCACCTATTTTGTAGGAACGATTGTTTAGCCGCTTTATATCGTTTTAAGAGAAGCATTTTCAAAACATGCCGAGCGTAGCGCAAAAATATGGCACCCGTTATTGTTGCTCGTTTCCGGCTCGTATCAAGCGTACTCCAAGCATTTCACCCATGTCTTCCAGAGATTGCGTCACTGTTGATAAGTTTGCATTTGGAATTTGCTGCAGGAAAAAAAGACTTCTTCATGCCACATTTTCTGAGATTAGATTACGGGATTAAACAATAAGAAGGGAGAAGTTTTGGAGGACAATTTCGCTTCAGTCTTCTCATTTTACTTTGCACAAAAAAGCCTAGTGAACCTCCCAGTACTCCCCCTCAAACAGACGTTTCAAGTACTTCCTGAAAGCGTATAAAATTGCGAAGCAGATGTTGTTATTACCTCATACTGATCGAGAAGCATCATAGTTGGCGAAGAAGTTTCATCGAGGCAGACTCGTATAAACTCCACCATGTGCCCACAGCCCAGGTGATCCGCTAGCACCGTCCATTTGTCCTCAACGTCGAGTAGCTTGGATAGCCGGAGTCTTGTCAAATAATCCAGACAGGACACATCATCTGTAGTTGGCTGAATTGGTAAATTTCATCCTCCCTCTTTCTTGTCATTCACACTGTAATTTCAGGGGAAGTGGAGGAGGAACATAGACTGAGTATTAACCGTCATACTGACGAGGTCCAGTCACGATGTTGAGTTAAAACTTAGTGGACCGAAACGTCTTATCTCATTCTTACCTTCATTTCTTACATTGCTCTTTCTTTCTGTATTCTATCGCGCTTTCGCCATTTACACTTCCACAGTCAACCTGGTTGCTACAGTCGTCTTAAACTGATATGCGTAGGACATGCAGAATTTTGTATCTTCTCTGCCTGGATGTTTGAGCTTCGAAATCTGACCAAACCACGTTCCAGAGTCGAAAAAGCCTCAGCTTTGCTAACTTTTTGCAAGCGAAAAAACAATGTTGCACCTTTAATCAGCGACCGGAGGCGATAGCTTGTCGAAGCATCGTTGCTTGTCAGTTCGCTGCTGGTCGAGTCCTCGTCACGTTCCGGCTCGCTGCACTCCTTCTCTTCATCCGCTGCACGGGATGCATGCGCTCCAGCTGCTGGCTCGACACGCTCACCATTCAGGATGCGCTGCACATCGTCATCATCGGCCTCCGCAGGTCGTCCTTCACCTGCATTGATTTGCACATCTCTTTCCAAGCAATTTTTTCCGGGATTTTGGTCACTGCTGTAAGCGCATATTGTTATATGCAGTGGAATTTTTTTGGCAAAATGTTTTGAAGGATTCGGAAACCTGCTCCTAAAGATTCGAGTCGTGATCCAGCATCTATCAGACGTCCGATCATCGTCAGGTTTTTCGTCCTGCATGCAACTTTGAGCGGTGTATCGCCATTCTGCGACACCACGTTAACGTCACAGCCATGCTGCAATTTCACTTTTACCATCAAACTCTCAGGTAACAGATACTGGGAATGGGACTGGGAAGGAAATTCTTATCCAGGACAAGGCCGGGCTGTCTTTCTGGATCGGCTTCCTGGATCGTTGCTGTCTCCGGTAAGAAAGAATTGTGATAAAACATCAACAACATAAAGAACTTGTCGATGGATGTCGAAACGATCAGACATTACAAAAAAAAAAAAAACTCGGTGAGATGTCGAGATAATAGTATATGATGGAAAAAAATTAACGAAAATATCGGGTAAAAAGCAGGGGTGGGGAGAGTTAAGCCGACTGTAGCAACCAGGTTGACCCTGGTAGTTTAGATGGTGAAGGTGCAATAGATTACAGCATGAAAGGATAGTATGAGAAAAGAAGGTAAGGGTGAGATAAGATGTTTCAGTCCATTAAGTCATATACGCCTTAACTCAACACCGCAACTTGACCACGTCAGTATGACGGTCGCAGCGCTTAATGGAAAAGGGAAAGGAAAGAGAAAGACGACAGGAAGAAACGAAATGAAAAACGATATGATTTAAATTCCTTTCTCCTCGAAATGCATGTGTAGAGACAGGACAGTCCTGATAGCAGTTACTTTCAAAAACTTGTCAAAAAAGTGGACCTGAGCAAGTAACGTAGCAGCATCCGTATCATCCATATTGAGAGCTGTTAGCAGCGGAGTTTCGCCATCATGATCCGGTACATCCAGAGGTGCGCCCGCTTCAATCAGTGCTTCCAAAAGGCTCAATTTAAGCTTCTTAACAGCCACATGAGCTGGCGTGTAACCTTCGCTATTCTTTTTGGCTAAATGATTACCAGTATGTTCACTGGTACTGCTTTCAGTTTCCTCATTGTTACCCGTCTCCAATATCTCTTTGTAAATTGCATCATTGTAAACATCGCCAAGATAATGAGCAACCTTAAAAAGTTACAGGCATTTCAAAGAAATGAGTCTTGAAAAAACCAGTGAATTTATGGGTTCCCTTACTGGGTTCCTCGGTGCTTGAACTGGAACAAATTTTCTTGTGAGATGTTTAAAAAAACACGATAAGTTCAGTCTAGAGACGCAAAATCTAACCAAACTGGTGACAAAAATAAGTAACAGATTTCCAAAAAAACGTAAAAATGAATTCATAAGTGTTAAATTTCGACAAGTGATAGCAAAAATGGAACAGATAACGGCACTGCATATTATCCTTCTTCCTCGATTTATGTAAATAATAATATTCAGATGGTAATAGAGGGGGAGAAGTAGTGAAGACTGGGGAAATAAAGATTCAATAAATGCAATGAGTGGTAAAGAGAAGATATTATTCAAGTAAGTCATTTTAATAGAAAAATTATTCTGACAGGTAGAGTAAAAGTACGTCAAATTTCTCCATTTCATCCTGATGATTTTTATTACTTTTTTTGGCCATCGACAAAGAGGTCAACTTACAGTGTCCAGGTTGTTGTCCACCGCGTTCCTGCTGGCGCCAGCACTGAGCAGATAATGGACACAGTCTGGATCACCGGCACGTACCGCACAGTGCAGTGGCGTTTGTCCGCGCGCATTTACCGCATCGATGACTTTTTGAGGATCGGCATTGCTGTTGCACTCACGTAGTGCAGACAGCATTGTCTTCAATGCGAAATTTTGTTTGTTGCGTGCTGCCAGGTGTAAAGCACTGCAATGATGACATGAGCTTGCAAGATAACAGAGATCCAGCAATTCCAGGAGCAGAATAAGCTGCTGCTGATATCCTCTGTGGCTTGCCCATGTTTTGCTTTTGCCGTCTTACATTAAAAGAGCGTTTCTTATCGTTTCTACTTTGTGACTGTCCCGAGAGCGATAGATAGTTGTGGATGGGACTGTACTTAGGCCAGGTCAGGAGGGGTTGTTGTTCCCTCACCTGATTCAGTGTAGAAGTGGAAGCTTGGAAGCGCGGTTCTTTGGGGAGTGTTTCTGGACCAACTGGAGTACTACGCATCTGTTCGCTGTGGACTGCAGTATTTTGGGAGTTTGCTGTTCTGGTTATCTGATAATTCTGACGACCGTTCGTGAAGATACATTGTAAAAAGAGATTTTGATTTAATGATATACCCTAATAGACAAGTTCCATATTTTCGAGTACAGTGGGTTAGAGTGAAAGCTGAGGGTAAAAGTAGAGCTTAACTCCTAGAACTTTCATGAATAAACAGAAGTTCTGGGAGCTGAGTATTATCTCACCCGCAGGAGCAATTTAACTTGCAACAGTGCTTCTGAGTGGCAAATAAGTGAATTAACAGACTTGCAACCGTCGTTGTCGGATGCAGCTAGGAATGGAACGAGTGGCTTCATTAATGCCAGCGGTTCGCCTTCTGTTGCAAATTCGAACAGTGACGCGATCTGGGCTGCTGCATCCGGAACGTCCGTAACGAATTTCCTCGATCCATCACCCGCTTCACTAATTACACAT